ATATCCTTTATAGTCATCATTAATATTGACTAAACAATGTTAAAGCAAAGGAGCACTAAGAACCTGTCCTGTGGCTCTAAGACAAAGGGCCAGCCTGAAACAGAACCACTGGATCCAACCATGGGGATAATACTGAGAATAGCTGTCAACTTTAAGATGCTGCACTCAAATATCGATTGGGCTTGCTTCTGGGTATTACTGTAAACGCCAAGGCACAAAACACCCTCAAAATTCCCTACCCTTATAAATGCATCCATAGCACCACTGGCCTGGAATTCAGGATCTGATATAACGAATCAACAGATTAACTGTTGGGGCCCCTTCCAAAAGATGTTCTGAGGACACATGGCCTCCCCCAGGGAGAGGAAGATCAGAAAAGGCTTTTCGAATAGCCAGCAGAGTCAGGGCGCTGGGGAAAACCCCGAGTTCCCGTTCCCTCCCGCCATGTTATTTACTTTTAGAGGATTCGATTTTGCATTCCAAGGACTCCGACCTGCCGTTTTCCATGAAAATCATCTCATGGAAATGGCATTTGGTTTTCATCCGAGTCCCTCAGGTTCCTTCCAACTACCGAGTCTCAAATTTTGGAGAGAAAAACCTTCCCTCCACCCCTCCTCTCTCCAGCTACTCTTTAAGAGCACCAACTTGACAGTCGTGGGTTTGGGTTTGGACTTTTTAGCACTTACAGTTCTTTTCAGCATGAAATAGACTCGCTGGGTATTCCCTGTTCTGGACTTAGAAGCAGGCTCACATTGTTACCCGCTAAAATGCCTGGGTACGGCTCTGTTCACCAGACTCCTGCAGCTGCCAAGGCCATGAAGGGGGCAGGGGGGGAGATGAAAAGAAAACAGGGGTCCCCCACTTTCAAGAAAGACTTCCATAAGGCCCCTGTGGAAGCGTCCTATTTCCTCCTCTTTTGTAACCACTGGAGAAAAAGCCCGGGATGTCGTGCTAGTCCTACCTGCTCATCCCTTCTCCAGCCTTATTAATACCTTTAAATTCTGCCAATTCCCACTCCAAACTTTCTGCCAATGGGGGAGGGGGACGAGGGAGAAGATTTGTGGCTACAAGTTTAAGGGAGAAGCCAAATCCATCACAGTGACAGGGAAGAGTGTCGGCAGAGATCTGAGCTATTTATTCCTTTAGGAAAACCCTATAAAGAATGACACAAGGAAGCCTCTATCTGCAGTCTTGTTCATCACACTGGTGAGGAGTGTGATAACAGATGTATGCAGGCGTGTGATTTAGTGCCAGGAGCTGGCCCCTGATGTGTATTAATACAGCGGCAAAGCGGAACGAACCTCTCTCCATCACTCATTTCTATAAAAGAGGTGGAATCGGAGATGGCCCGATGTTAGGCAGAGCAAGCCCATTTGTTCTCCTGACTGATGGCACGAGCTCGGGCTCCGTCCTTCACCTCCACGGGGCACGCAGGTTGTGGGTGGAAGAAAAAGAAAGGCAGAAAAGGCAGGTGAAGCAGGGCCTAGTCAACAAGTGTGAGGGCAGGAGCTGGGACGACATGGGAAATGCTCCCTGCACCAGCCTTCCTTAAGAGCCAGCCCTTGATATTTGATTTGAAGAGTGGATAATGGTTTTAAACTTTTCCCAATGGCTCTTCTGGTAGGAAGACCCTAAAGGCCAAACATAGAAGTTAGCAACTGAGGAGGACAATACAGAAAAAGACACAAGAGCAGAGGATTGTTTGTGTGCCTCAAAGCCCCCCGGACTAAATGAAGCTCTGTGTTCCCACGGTGCGTGTTGAAAGTGAGGGCCCCCGAGAGTCCAGGGGACCCTGGCAATCTTGGCTCTCCCATTTATCAACCAAGGAGCCAGGGAAGTGATTTAACCTCTTTATGCTCTGTCTCCTCATGTTTAAATTGGGAATAAAAATATTACCTACCTCACAGGACTGCTACAAAGATGAAATGAAGTAACACCCACAAGTTATGCAGTTCGGGGCAGGCTGGATTGAAAACACTAAAAACCACGCCTGCTAGAATCACCAGACTGCGATCATCAAGCAGCCATCTCAAGCCAACGCTCAAAGAGGGCGCCGACACTGGTCTGGAACAGTAAACCCCAACTAACACACACACCAGCCGCTTTGGCATCCGTTCCGACTCACGGGCCTCATGTCTGCCCAAGACCAACTGTGCTCCGAGGGTTTTCAATGGTGCGCTTTGTAGAAGTAGATCACCAGGCTTTCCTTCCAAACCTTCCACGCCTTTCTCCTGTGGAGTGGCTGCTTGGTCCAAACCTCCTACCCTTCAGTTAGAGCGCTTAAGCACTGCACCCCCAAGCTCCTTGCTAAGTAACCCTGCTGCTAAGTGTCCTGGGACTGCTTCTGACTCAGTGACTCGCCAGAGAACAGAGCAAAACACTGTCCAGTGCAGCACCATGCACACAACTGTTGTTAGGTTTAAGCAGCTTTTTGCAACTACTGTGTCAATCCATCTCCTTAAGAAATTCTTCTTTCAGGAAAGTAAAAGGAAATAGAGGAAAGAACTAGGAGTCAAAGGGCATTTATAGAGGTCTAAATATAGGCATGTACATATGCAAATATATTTATGTATGATGATGGGGAAATAGATTTATGTGCATATAT